GTGGTCTTTGTTGGTGATATCGTGTTTGTAGATGATGTCGTGGTCATTGTTGATGATGTTGCCCTGTTGATAATGTCGTGGTCTTTGTTGGTGATGTCATGTTTGTTGGTGATGTCATGGTGTTTGTTGATTTCATATTGATGATGTTGTGGTGTTTATGGCTACGGGGGACGTTGATAAAACTGTAGACCGTACAAAGGTAGTGTTTCCCGTAGGTTTACAACTTCAGAGAGAGAGAGTTGAGTAGATGTAGGTTACTCAAGGTGCAGTAAACTACCTCCACCCAACATCGGGTAACACTGGGTAATGTTGGCCAATGTAGGGTAATTTTGCGGAATGTTGGCTAAACTTGGGTAATTGTGGGTAAACTGTATTCCTTCAAACGGAGGCCGCTGAGGTTCCACACAGAACCTGGAGGTTCTGTGTGGAGTGTTTGTGTGTCTGCAGGCTGAATGAGGAGAATATTAATGAGAGGAGTGTGATGGGTCAGACATACAGAGCAGCTCACTCCTCAGTGAGGAGGCCTGAAGATCTCCGTGATTGTTAACTTTATGTTTCCATCTGAGCGGAAACTTTAGCTCCAATCTATTTTCAGCTTCTTTCATTTCACAAATGGATGAAATAACTTTCAGATTAAAAGGTGAGATATTAAAAGATTTAGACCCATTTGAATGATAAACAGCATCTCATTACATTTATTTAGTTAATTTATTAGTGAGAGTTTAAAAAACTCAAAATAAGACATATTTACACTCACCTAAAGGTCTATCAGCAACACCTGTTCAATTTCTCATTAATGCAATTATGCAATTATTAATGCAATAATCTAAAATGGCAGTTGCTTCAATGCATTTAGGGGCGTGGTCCTGGTCAAGACAATCTCCTGAACTCCAAACTTAATGTCAGAATGGGAAAGAAAGGGGATTTAAGCCATTTTGAGCGTGGCGTGGTTGTTGGTGCCAGACGGTCTGAGTATTTCACAATCTGCTCACTTACTGGGATTTTCACGCACAAGCATTACTAGGGTTTACAAAGAATGGTGTGAAAAGGGAAAAACATCCAGTATGCGGCAGTCCTGTGGGTGAGAATGCGTTGTTGATGCTAGAGGTCAGAGGTCAGAGGAGAAGGGGCCGACTGATTCAAGCTGATAGAAGAGAAACTTTGACTGAAATAACCACTCGTTACCACCGAGGTGTGCAGCAAAGCATTTGTGAAGCCACAACACGCACAAACCTTGAGGCGGATGGGCTACAACAGCAGAAGACCCCACCGGGTACCACCCATCCCCACTACAAATAGGAAAAAGAGGCTACAATTTGCTACAAAGAGCTCACCAAAATTGGACAGTTGAAGACTGGAAAAATGTTGCCTGGTCTGATGAGTCTCGATTTCTCGACATTCGGATGGTAGAGTCGTCGTGGCGCAGGGGTTAGAGAAGGTGTGCTGGGAAGCACAAGGTTGGTGGTTCGATTCCAGGCTGCCCCATGTTCCATGTCGAAGTGTCCCTGAGCAAGACACCTAACCCCTTATTGCTCCCCGGGCAAAAATGTGAAAAAAGCCATGGGTTTAAAGTGTAATGTAAGTCGCTTTGGATAAAAGCGTCTGCTAAATGACATGTAATGTAATGTAATGTAATGTAGAGTCAGAATAGAGAACATGGATCCATGATGCCTTGTTACCACGGTGCAGACTGCTGGTGGTGGTGTAATGGTGTGGGAGATGTTTTCTTGGAACAATTTAGGCCCCTTAGTGGCAATTAGGCATCGTTTAAATGCCACGGCCTACCTGAGCATTGTTTCTGACCATGTCCATCCCTTTATGGCACCATGTACCATCCTCTGATGGCTACTTCCTGCAGGATTGTGCACCATGTCACAAAGCTCCAATCATTTCAAATTGGTTTCCTGAACATGACAATGAGTTCACTGTACTAAAATGGCCCCACAGTCACCAGATCTCAACCCACTAGAGCATCTTTGGGATGTGGTGGAACGGGAGCTTCGTGCCCTGGATGTGCATCCCACAAATCTCCATCAACTGCAAGATGCTGTCCTATCAATATGGGCCAACGTTTCTGCAGAATGCTTTCAGCACCTTGTTGACTCAATGCCACGTAGAATTAAGGCAGTTCTGAAGGCGAAAGGGGGTCCAACACAGTATTAGTATGGTGTTGTTAATAATCCTTTAGGTGAGTGTATATACAATGGGTACGGAAAGTATTCAGACCCCTTTACATTTTTCACTCTTTGTTTCATTGCAGCCATTTGCTAAAATCCAAAAAGTTCATTTTATTTTGCGTTACTCAGCAACCCATCTTGACAGAAAAAAACAGAAATTTAGAAATTTGATTAAAAAAAGAAAACCTGAAATATTACATGGTCATAAGTATTCAGATCCTTTGCTCAGTATTGAGTAGGAGCACCTTTTTGAGCTGGTACAGCCATGAGCCTTCTTGGGAATGATGCAACAAGTTTTCCACACCTGGATTTGGGGATCCTCTGCCACTCTTCCTTGCAGATCCTCTCCAGTTCCGTCAGGTTGGATGGTGAACGTTGGTGGACAGCCATTTTCAGGTCTCTCCAGAGATGCTCAATTGGGTTTAGGTCAGCTGAACCTTTGGCCACGTATGAGGTTCTGAGCACTCTGGATGAGGTTTTCTTCCAGGAGATCTCTGTACTTGGATCTGTACACATTTATCTTTCCTTTAATTGCAACCAGTCGTCCTGTCCCTGCAGCTGAAAAACACCCTCATAGCGATGCTGCCACCATGTTTCACAGTTTTGGGCAGGTGATGAGGAGTGCCTGCTTTTTTCCACACATGCCGCTTAGAATTATCGCCAGTTAGTTCAATCTTGGTCTCATCAGACCAGAGAATCTCATTTCTCATAGTCTGGGAGTCCTTCATGTGTTTTTTTGGCAAACTCTATGCAGGCTTTCATGTCTTGCCCTGGGGAGAGGCTTCCGTCGGGCCACTCTGCCATAAAGCCCCGGCCAGTGGAGGGCTGCAGTGATAGTTGACTTTGTGGAACTTTCTCCCGTCTCCCTACAGCGTCTCTGGAGCTCAGCCACAGTGATCTTTGAGTTCTTCTTTACCTCTCACCAAGGTTCTTCTCCCCCGATTGCTCAGTGTGGCTGGACGGCTCAGGTCTGGGAAGAGTTCTTCTTCCATTTAAGGTTTAAAGGAATGTGCTCTTGGAACCTTGAGTGCTACAGAAATTCTTTTGTAACCGTGGCCAGATCAGTACCTTGCCACGATTCTGTCTCTGAGCTCCTTGTGCAGTTCCTTCGACCTCCTGATTCTCATTTGCTCTGACTCACTGTGAGCTGTAAGGTCTTATATAGAGGTGTGTCCCCTTCCTAATCAAGTCCAACCAGTTTACTTAAACACAGCAGGAGTCCAATGAAGGAATAGAACCATCTTAAGGAGGATCAGAAGAAATTTAAATGAGTTAAATATGAGTGTCACAGCAAAGGGTCTGAATACTTATGACCATGTGATATTTCAGATTTTCTTTAATTCATTTGCAAAAAATTTTTTCTGTTCAGATGGGGTGCTGAGTAACGCAAAATAAAATGAACTTTTTGGATTTTAGCAAATGGCTGCAATGAAACAAAGAGTGAAAAATGTAAAGGGGTCTGAATACTTTCCGTACTCACTGTACATCGTAAGACATCGACAACTGTCCAATCTCTCATATGTATTAAATCAATATTTTAAAAATTGGCCTGAATAAAGCTCCAATACATAAAATTAACACATTAGACACCTTTTAAATCAATGAAGCTGTTCATTATGTTGAGGATCCTTATCTTATTACATTTAATAATTACTTATTTGCTTTTCACTATGTGTAGATTATTGAGGTGGCGGAAGTAGGAACCATTTGCAATAATCATACTGTAGTATATAATCTGTTATTTTGCAGCCTTTTACCTTTAGTACCTTTGATGTCATAGCGTCCAGGTGGGATGATGATGATGATGATGATGATGATGATGGTGTCGAGGGAATCTTCAGGCAGCGAGCTGACACAACAGCAGATATTGATCAGTCGGTTTATGTTTCAATCGATTGAGATGAGAGCTTCTCCACTTCACCTTTAAACATTAACATTATGTTCATCACATCTGAGCTTTACCTTTAATAACAGTAATAATAATGAAGGTAATAAGTGTTAATACAAGAGAATGATGATTAGTCCAATCATGTATAAGGACATGTTTATTGTCCACCGTACACTTTATCATTGTTATGATTATAATCATTGATTAATTGATAGTTTATTCTGATGTCACATTGTCACACACGTTAATTGGACTAATTGCAAAGATGGCGATGAACAGCTTGCAGCCACCAAAGGTTTTCCCAGGAGCCTCTGCGGTTTCCAGTAAAATCCTGATGCTGCTGATTGATGAAGGTCCATTCAGGAGGAGGCTGAGAGCTAATGGAGCCGTGGCAGCTAATTTATACGGGGGGGGTAAAGTAAGACATTAGAGACAGGAAGCTGATGATGATGATGATTGAAAGCAGGACTTGCAACAGAGAAAACCTGATCACACTTTGGCTTCACATTCATGTGGAATCATATGGAAAAATATATATTTTGGGGCAAAACACTTCTTAAAAATGAGGACATTGGAGAAAAAAATATTTGAGAAACTTGTTTTAATGCAAATGTCATTGATTGTGACATGAACAGGAAGTAATATACATAAACTGTTTGTTAATAATTCAGCTAAGTCAGCATCCACTCCTATCAGCCAATCAGAAACCAGCATCACGCCACAACAATACAAACACAAACAATACAGCCGAGTTTAAACGGCAACAAAACGATAGCAAACACATTCGGATGTTTCGTTGCTCTGATGATGAACCTAAGATCTGTTTGGTTGACCTCTGTTTACTCTTTTCAGGGTGTTTAAGAAAGCCAGTCCCAATGGAAAGGTGAGTCATCTTCTCCTTAACGTTTACCGGAGACACACATGAGACAGCCGTTGCTCTCCTGACTCTCTCCCCCCTCAGCTCACCGTCTATCTGGGAAAGAGGGACTTTGTGGACCACGTAGACCTGGTGGAGCCAGTTGGTGAGATCACCTGTTACTGATCTCCATGTGTTTGGTTTGTTGTCCATCGAACCTTCTGCTTGGTGCTTTACTCTTTGAAGGCAGCTGATCCTTCGTCTTCTTCCTGCAGACGGCGTCGTCCTGATCGACCCAGAGTACCTGAAGGAGAGGAAAGGTGAGACATCTGAGACATCTGACCTCCAGCCGGTTCAAAGGCAGAACATACGACAGTGGTTCAGTTTCCTAACTCTGCCATTTAAATGCATATTTGTGTTTCCTACCACAGATTAAATAACTTTTCCAAGAGTCGTGAAAAGTTTTTCTTGATATATAATCCTTTGACTGGGATGAGATGTGACACAACGTTATTATAGATAACTTTTGGTTCCAATCAAACCTAAAGAAATAAAAATGTTCTACCAAATAGTGTCTCTACTTACTGTTGTTTTGTAATGGTGCGTTCACGCCAAAACACAAGCCAAGTATTCGCGCGAGTAGATTCCATGTAAAGTCAATGCACAGACGCGTCCGCTCGCGAATGACACGAATTTTAAACGGGCGGCACGAATGACGCAAAAAGGCGAAACAAGCGAACCGAATAAATCGCTTTCTTGCCCAAAGTTGAAATATTTCAACTTTCAACTAGAGGCTGTCTAGCGAGGGCCAATCAGCGTTGAGATTCTCTGCTCGTCATCACCGCCGTCCTGCTGCCACAGCGTGAATACACGTTAAGGCCGCCGCGTGTTTCTGCGACTTTACGTGTCGACGCACTGGTTTCACTTCCTGGTTGTAAAGTCCTGCGTGTGTTGCAGAGCGATTCACCTCCAGAACAACAGGTGGAGTCACGTGTTTTGTTGAAGACGACCTGGAGAGTCACGTCTTTGTGTGTGGAAGTCGCTGGTTGCTTTATTTATGTATCATAGACTTTATTGCCCCGTGCATCCACACTGCTGCTTTTCATCAAGGACACATTTGTCCCGTATTTTCCTCCACGACTTTGTTCCCCTCGTTGGTGGAGATCTCCCTCCATGAATCAGAGGCCATCCGGCGTCCTCATAGTCCGCCAATGACGGCTTGTACAAGCGCTCATATTACCGCGTTTCTTCACACAAAAGCTCTTCAATCTGATCCGTTCTCGTTTTAATAACGGCCGTATTGTGCTGTGAAAACGGAGACGTGAGACTCCGTAAAGGACGTAGTCAGCAGACCAATCACAGCCTGGTGCTGCAGGAGGCTGCGTCGCTTTACACGCTAGTCCAGAACAATGTGTCGACCGATCCGACACAACAGGTCATCAGACCGGCTGCTGGTCCGCCCCCTTCCAGGCGCGAATGAAGCAAAAAAATGAAGCAAAAAAGTAAACTTTTGCAAGTAAAGCGGAGCAAAAATTCGCTTCACTTTTGGTGTGAACGTACCATCATAATTAGTTTTAGCTGTAAGACAAGCCATTAACATTTGTCAGACGAGGACATTTGTTTCTTATTAACCTGATGAATTCTCAGTGGATCCCAAACAGCCTGTTGGAGCTTTGTTTGGCCTGAATTGTTCAACATTAAAATCCTCTTAAATATGCTGTTTGCTCTTCATCTTAAATATCTTCTGGAGTTCCTCATGGAAGTGTCCCGGAGTGTTTTTCATATCAAAACCTGCTCTGCTTTTGGTTTTCCTGCACAGGATGTCACACTGTGGGAACAATGAGACGTGAGTTATTGTTCATGTATCCGGAGGTCATAGTTGTGTTTCTCGTTCTTGTGTTTCAGTGTTTGTGACTCTGACTTGTGCCTTCCGATACGGCCGAGAGGACCTGGACGTCCTCGGGCTGACCTTCCGGAAAGACCTATTTGTGGCCAACGTACAGGCATTTCCACCCCCAGCCGAAGAGAAGAAGAGTCTGACTCGTCTTCAGGAGCGGCTGATCAAGAAACTAGGAGATCAAGCCTACCCGTTCACCTTTGAGGTAACGAGCCGCCTTCACCTGGAACACCGTGCGTTTCCTCGTTCAGAAAGGAGGATTATGAAAACATTTTCTAATTTCAGAAAATAATTTGGCAATGACACTATACGTCTAAAAGATCAAAGGTCAAAAGCAGGTATTAACCTGCATGACTCAGGAATATGGAGATGAACTCTTGATTCTGTTGAACCACCATCCACAGAAGCCTGTGGGGAGGGAAAGCAGAAAGACGTTTATGATGACAGTAATATGATTAATATTTAAAATAATAATAACAATGATGATAGCAGCAGACGTCAGCAGGGCCACGGCAGGTGTCAGGACCAGGGTCCAGAAGGAACTACGATCTACGGAGACCTGCTAGGGGAGAAAGCACAAAAAACTCCCGGAAAGAAGCTGAATTAGTGATGTGCATTAATACAACGTGAATTATGGTAGAACGAGAGCGCGAGAGGAGCTCGGTGTGAAGAAGTCCCCCGGCAGTCTAAGCCTATAGCAGCTTAACTAAGGGCTGGTCCGGACTAACCTGAGCCAGCCCTAACTATAGGCAGAATCAAAGAGGAACGTTTTAAGTTTTACTTTAAAAGAGCTGACCGAATCTGCCCTCCGGACTGAAAGTGGAACCTGGTTCCACTAAAGAGGAGCTTGATAACTGAAGACTCTGGCCCCCAGCCTACTTTTTAAAACCACAGGAACAACAAGTAACCAGCATCTATGGAGCGCAGCTGCCTTGTAGGACAATAAGATGTTACAAGCTCTTGAAGATACAACGGTGCCTCACCAGCAAGTGCCTTGTAGGTGAGGAGAAGTACCTTAAAATCTATTCTTGATTTAACAGGGAACCAGTGCAGAGAAGTTAATACAGGAGTGATATGATCCCTTTTCATTAGTTCTTGTTAATACACGTGCTGCAGCATTCTGAATCAAGCATAGTATGATGACGCTTTTATTTTGAAAAGGGTCTGACGCAGAAGCACTGTCAGAATCCACCGATGGAGACAATGAATGTCTGTGTTTGTGTTTTCAGATTCCTTTGAACCTGCCATGCTCCGTCACCCTGCAGCCGGGCCCCGAGGACACTGGGAAGGTAGACCTCGGTGAAGAGCTCCTCAGCTGGAGACACAAGTCCAATGTTCTCAATGTCTTCAACGTTCTCGTTTGTCTTCAGGCCTGTGGAGTCGACTTTGAGGTGAAAGCTTTCTGTGCCGAAAATGTTGAAGAGAAGATCCACAAAAGGTACAAGTTTGACAAAATCAAGAGACAAATCATGAATAAAATGGAGAAAGCTTCCTGCTGAGAAAGAGAGACAGAGGGACACGGCTGCAGCACAGAGAGAACCAGAACCAGCTCCACACCAGATATGAACATGTGCCGCTCATAGTCAACAGTCAGGTCCAGTATCACTGAGTTGTAGAGGTCAGTAGGTCATCTGTGACAAGAGACCTTCTAGAGTCTTCACCTTCATGACAATCTGACACGGTCAGATGGACCAAACCAACATGTCCCTGAAGAGGGGGGGTGTCAGGTAAAGGACACCTCCTCCCTCCAGGAGGAGTACGATTATCAGCGTTGTGTTGTTGCAGGAACTCAGTGCGTCTGGTCATCCGAAAGGTTCAGTACGCTCCGGAGAAGGCCGGCCCTCAGCCGACGGCAGAAACCACCAGACAGTTTCTGATGTCCGATAAACCTCTGCACCTGGAGGCCTCTCTGGACAAAGAGGTAAGACCCAGTGTTATTATGCAAATATCAGTAATCATAATAACAATATGTTTCTCTCAGATTTATTACCATGGAGAGCCGATCAGCGCCAACGTCCACGTCACCAACAATACGAACAAGACCGTGAAGAAGATGAAGATCTCAGGTACCTGAGGGCACCAGTCCCATCTCTCTCTGGATTGGTCTGTTTGTGTTAGTGATCGATCTATTGATTTGTGTTTCCACAGTGCGACAGTATGCAGACATCTGCCTCTTCAACACGGCTCAGTACAAATGCCCGGTGGCCACCGAGGAGTCTGAGTCAGTCTCTTTTCTCTCTGCTTCCAATTAGACAGAACTCCCCAAAGGTTCACTGAGTACTTGTTCTGGAGCTTTCTAGAGTCACCTTTGCTCAGTTTATCCAGATGTGTTTCCTGGGCCCTTGAAGGTCCACGGAGGATTGGTTTCCCAGTTAAAACAGTTAGAAGTGGATCAAGTCAGAAGTTTATATCTGGCTTCATCTATGTGGGTTTTCTGTCATCAGTGACGTCGTCGCTCCCAGCTCGACGTTCTGCAAAGTTTTCACCCTCACTCCGTTTTTGGCCAACAACCGAGAGAAACGAGGCCTCGCTCTGGACGGCAAACTGAAGCACGAGGACACCAACCTGGCCTCCAGCACCCTGTGAGTCTGGCGGCAGTCGTGTTGCCTACAAAGCCTGCATGAGGATGACTGAACACTTTAGGGACATTGTAGGATGCTTTAAAGATATTTGGGGTCTATGTGGGACCTTTCTGTGATAATATAGGTCTTTAATCTGAAGAACCGGTCGTGATCCAGGGGGTCGGGAGGGGATTTATCCAAAATATCCAATTACAGCAAAAGCCCATTTGTCCGACAGCCAGTTATCCCCCAAAACAAACTGCACAATCTGAAGCACACTGACTGCTCATTTGACCTTCTGGATTCCTACAAGGACGGCCTGCTCTCTCTCTCATGGGCTTGGCCAACAGGCGTGAACTTAACCCAATCAAAAGAGTACACAGGCAGAGTAGATGGTGTGGAGAACGTTAGAGAGGAGGTGGTGTTTAGTGTAGAGGGATCAGGTGGAGCGAAAGCCTCAAGATGGTGTGAAGAGCTTCGGTTGAAGGAGGTGGAAATGTTTCCACCAGTGACGGACAACCAGTGACTGATGGATGTTTGTCTTTGTCAGGTTGAGAGATGGAGCCAACAAGGAGATCCTCGGCATCATCGTGTCCTACAAAGTCAAAGTGAAGCTGGTGGTGTCAAGAGGCGGGTCAGTGGTTCACTTACTTATTATAATATTCATCTCTCATGTCATCAGAGATAAAAAGAGTGAACCGTTTATCTCATTTCTGTTGAGTTTAACTTAGTTAAACTTGTGACACCTCTTCAGACTCTACCTTGACTAAAAGACTAACAAATTGTAGCACTTAAATTGTACTTATAACGTCACTTATCTACAGCAAGTTGTAAATTGGCTTATTTGAGGAACTTGCACTTTCTTGTTGCTTGTTCTTCTGAGTTTGTGTCCTTATGGTTGAAATGTTCTTATTGTACGTCGCTTTGGATAAAAGCGTCAGATAAATGACATGTGATGTGATGTAATATAATGTGATTCATAAATAAAAATGAACTAATCTGTGTGGCCACAGTGTGACTCTTTATGATAATCCAGAACTCGTTAGGGGACTAAGTTACTTATGTTAGTCCTGACCTCAAAGGATACTCTGATACATTACATCACGGGTCCTTTAGCTGAAGCTTTATCCAAAGCGACTTACATTAAGTGCATTTCAAACATAACAAACTCAGAAGAGCAAGAAACAAGAAAGTGCAACTTCATCAAATTATCCGCTGTAGCTCCTCTCGTTGGCTCATTGTTTGCTTTTATTCATCTGATTTAATGGTAATAAACTACTACGTGTAATACCCTATTAATTATAAAAGTTAGTTTTGCCTTTCCTAGTCGGTAAAAGGACGCTAGCGCAGATGATCTAGCCGTGCGCTAACACTGTCCCAACTTGGGCAGACCTCCATCGTGGTTGTAAACTATTTTTTGGGGGGATTATTAACCAAATTTACCATCAAAGCTGTCAACAAATCAGGGACCGTAATTCTGGCCTTCAAAATAAGAGAGCGCTCCTGTTCCTGATTGTGCAATAAAAGCTTCTTCAAAATACAGAGAAAACTTCAGCATCGATCGTTGAATGTTCCTACTCTCATCACAGTTCCCTTCCTACGGTAATTAGACACATACGTTTACTTATATTCATGAAACTCAACATATTCTTTGACATGGATGACAACATTACTTACGTTTTGGGGGAGATTGTCCGGCTTAGGAAACAGTGCGGTTAATAACTCGTAGTTACCGTGTGAAGACTAGAAGCTGCTGTTGGTGAATAAGTAGAATCTCTTTAAAGCTGATGGTTTCTCATGTTTATTCATTTTTATTGATTCATTGATTTCAGGCTCCTGGGAGATCTGGCGACTAGGTAACCGCTCATGTTCTGTCACACCTCTGAGGTCAACGGTCATCAGATTTACCGAGGTCACCTAAACGTCTCGCGGACAGATGTTTGCCATAGTTCTGGTTGTGTTTATGACTACAGTGGATGGTTTGTGTTTCAGTGACGTCTCCGTGGAGCTGCCGTTCACATTGATGCACCCGAAGCCGCCAGAAGAGTCTGTCTACAGGGACGGTGAGTCGGGGTCACGTCCTGGTCCCGCTTCTGGTCCTGGTCCCGGCTCCGGTCCTGCTCCTGGTTCAGAACCACTTACAGAACTCAAATTGACATTTAGGGTCACGAGTCACATGACTGAAATTTATTTCCAGCCCTAAATTGCATTTAGTTACATTACGTTCACATTACATTTTTAGTACTGAATTTAATCTCTTAAAATTAAGACAAACCACCAAGATTGAAATTGATGATCACGTGACAGATTGTCCACAGCTGAATCCTTCATTCCGTCCCAAACATGTCGACTGGATCTCAGATGTGGTCTCAAGCATTCTGACTGATGAGTTTCATACAGACATGTTCATCATCGTCATCACTTTTTCAAGATTTAAGATCCAAAGATTTTTATTGTCGGTTACACACGCCCTGTGTGTTGAGATTCTTGTGCTTGCCTTTCCTGAAACCGACCGATTTAAAAATTAATTAATTAAAAATACAATACTTACATAAATGTACATGAAATAAAAAATAAAAATGAGGCGAGGAGGAAAAGTGCAAAACTGAGAAGGTTGTAAAGGAAATAAACCTAAATTAAATGAAATGTGTGCAATATAAATGAACAGCACAGTAACAGTAAGTGAATCCTAAGAAGCTAAAGCAGAGCAGTTGTTGATGCCTCTAATGGCAGTGGGGAAGAAGAGTTTCAGTCTGGTGGTCCTGCATTTGGCACTTCTGTACCTCCTGCCTGAGGGCAGAAGCGTGAACAGACCATGTTGGGGGCGGGGGGGTCTCTCCTGTGAACCCTGCGGTGGTGCAGAGAGGGCGGTGGGGTCTTGGTGATCTTTTCTGCTGTCCTGACCACCCTCTGAGTCCATGGTGGATGTGCTGCCGTACCACACGGGGATGCAGATGTGCTCTCCATGATGCAGCTGTAGAAGTTGCTGAGGATCTTGGGAGACAAACTTCCTCAGCCTCCTGGGGGATCCCGGTGTGTGTGCCTCTCTGTGCTGGAGCTGGAGGTCTCAGCGGGTGTAGAAGGCGTTGAGGTCCTCCGGTAGGCTGTCTGTGGCGCTGATGGAGCTGGTGGTGGTCCTGTAGTCGGTGGTGTGCTGAAGGCCTTGCCACATCTGCCTGGAGTCAGCAGTGGAGTAGAATCCATCCAGCTTCTCTCTGTACTGCCTCTTTGCCGCTGTGACGGCTTTTCTCAGTCGGTACTTAGCAGCTTTGTACTCCGTCTCAATGCCGGATCTGAATGCAGCATCTGACGTACCTGCCTGTTAATCCAGGGCTTCTGGTTGGGGAACCTCCTGACCGGTATGGTGGGCACAATGTTGTCTACACAATGTACCCGGTCACATACTCATACACATCCAGAAGAGTCCTCCCTTGTGGCTGCAGCTTTGAACACATGCCAGTCTGTTTGAGCAAATCCGTCCTGCAGGATTCCCTCAGTCTCTGTGGTCCAAAGCTTAACGGACTTGTTTCAGTTTTTGTTTGTAGGCTGGATACAGGAACAGTGAGATGTGGTCAGTGTCCGACGTGGGGCGGGGAGCTGCCCTGTACGCACCGCGTATGTTGCTGTACACGTGATCCAGGGTGGGGATGTGGGTGTGCTGGTAATATTTAAGGACGGCCTCGGGGTGAGACGTTTCTACCGCGCTGATGATGTCATGGGGTTTGCTGAGAGCAGCTGTGGCGTCGGCTCGCGGGGACGTAAACAGCAGCCAGAAACACAGCAGTGGATTCACACTTATCAATTAAATGAGATCTCTCTCTCTCTCTCTCTCTCTCTCTCTCTCTCTCTCTCTCTCTCTCTCTCTCTCTCTCCAGCTCCTGATGAAGCTCCGATCGACACAAACCTGATTGAGTTTGACACAAAGTAAGTCTCTGTCTCTCTCTTCCTGCATCTCTGTCTTCCCGTCCCTCAGTCTGTCCCGATTGTCTCTGCTGGGGTTTACTGCCTTGTCGATATGAGCAGAGAGCGTTTCACTGGCCGAGGTCTTAATGCGTCTTAATGCTCACAGGAAATGAGCTGAGAGGAAGTCAGTCGGTTCAGGAATCAGACGCACACTCACAACACACCGCCGGTGTAACCCACCGTAATACTATTAATGATTCTTCTTTTCAAGTCTCTTTACACCAATGAGACAATTGTACATTTAAATGACTTCGCAGTGAGAGGAGTTTTTAGTACTACTTGTAGTAAATACATTTATATTATATAAATGTATTTACTACAAGTAGTAATATATATATATATATATAATATTATATATTATAATGTTATATATTATTATTTACAGGTTTGACTGGAGCTATCCTTCCTCTATATATATATATATATATATATATATATATATATATATATATATGTATATGTATGTGTATGTATATGTATGTGTATGTGATTTAAACCCAAACCTCGATCCCCGTTGAACCTCCTCTCCAGTGATCGGAGTCTTTAAACTGACCAATGACCATCAAGTGTAATATTCAGCTAACATGACGATTCCCGTTCATGGTTCCTTGTGACCCTCCTTCTCTCCCAGCGATGATGACATAATCTTCGAAGACTTTGCTCGCCAGCGGCTGATTGATGGAGCGAAGGAAGACAAGGAGGAAGACGAGGAGCCGGTGGACTCGCCCAAACTGGATGACAGATAAAGGCCCGCCGCGCCGCTGTCGTCTCGCCGCTGTTGGCGGCGTGGAGCTGGTGGAGGTCGTCCAGACGCCCTCCAAACACCCGGCGATGCCGTGTTTGTGTCCCTGTTGATGTCCGACTTTCCTGCGTCCTGCCGGAGGTGTAAAAAAAGCTAGATTCCCGCCGCCCAGTTTTGTCTCCCCGAGGGAGGCGGCTCCTCCGCCCCCACCAACCCCCCCGGGCGGCTGGCCAGATGCTCGACCTGGGCGGTGGACGTCACGGCGGCCAACAGCATGCCTCCAAAATGTCCTTTTGTCCTACGTGTCTCCACTAGGGAGCGAGCCGGAGTAACGTTGTGTCCAGACTAGTTTTGTGTGTCATGTCAGAGGGTCTTCCTTAAGCTCTCTAGAACAGTTTAGCCATGGAACCGCCGGGAGAACCCGGAGGCCGTCAGAGGGAGGGATCCATTGGCCGGTAGGAGCCGGTGGGCGAGTGCTTCTTTGTACGGTTTGTTAATATCACCATCATCAGACCTCTGCAGGACGGACCGTGGACTCACCCTCACTGTCCCTGAACCGGACGCCTCCTCCTCACGTCCCCCGGGAAGCAGGGGGACCACTTTGTGTCCTTTAATCATCATAAGAACAGTTGTTAAGATTAGATCACTGGGAATGACCGTGTAGATCCACTGGCGGAATGTTTTACGATGTACACAATAGATAGTTAGCTAGCAGTTACCGGGTTGATTTCATAAAGCCTCTGGTGGAAATAATATACAACTAACGTTCAACATGTTGAATCTTGTTGTTTATGATGCTGCTGAAGCGAAACCGAAGAATCAATACCAATCTGAAATTACAACATGGATTCATCTATTCATCCACCTTTGTGATTAGCTAGCTCACGTATCTCACGTATCTTCACCAAGATCAAACATTCAAACACATTTATTTAATCCCCTCATTTCTCTTTTTGAAGTGAAGGAATTTTGTTTAGCTGCTCTGAAGGAGGAATTTAATAAAAATAAAGTATATCTAATCTATTTTTAATGATTCTTAAAATTATCAGTTGATATTTGTAAATAAAAAGTGCAAAAACACTAGAATGGTCCTTTGATGGACTGTTGTGGTTGAATGGAATTAAGACGACTTTTATTTAACAAAATACGTCTTTAATCTCAGAATCCAGGTGTTTGCGTGTGTGTGTGTGTGTGTGTGTGTGTGTGTGTGTGTGTGTACCTGAATGAACTGTGACATCACAGGATATTGTTTTTAACAATATTTGGATAAACATTTATTTTGACAGGGTATGTTATTCCAATCAGTTGGTCATTTTATATACCGCTAATCCATAAACGCCATAAATGGAGGGGGGCTGGATTCATTCCCAGCTAACATTGGCGAGGGACAAGGTTCCCCCTGGAACAGTCGCCAGTCAATTGCATGTTATTCTATGTTATTCCACTGCATCATTAATAAAAGGACGTTTATGGCTACTTGTTTGTGTGTGTTTCAGAATTATTTTCAAGATCATAATGGAACACAAACCAATATATTGATCTTAAAGAACATTTGACATTCTAAATATAATGCATTTTTATCTGGTGCTTTGTTCTCATTCACTTGAACAGAGGAAGGAAAATCATTATCAATACATTTTACAACTTTTGGCACCTAATTATTTTAGATTGCTTTTCACAAATGCTCTGATTGCAAATTAGATACGCCTCAAAATGAAATTTATCTTCGCAATTTAAGTATATTCAAAAAATGATTATTATTATTTGCCCCATGACATTAGTGTTGGTACCAATATTAGATTTGATTAGATTCAACTTTATTGTCGTTGCACAGTACAGGTACTGAGACAATGAACTTGTTTAGCATCTGAGGGCTGTCGCCGGGGGCAGAGTTCAGCAGGGTGACAGCGGCAGGGAAGAAGCTGTTCCTGAACCTGCTGGTAAGGGCTGGAGGGCCCTGTAGCGCCTCCCAGAGGGGAGGAGGGCAAACAGTCTATGGCTGGGGTGAGAGTTGTCCTTCACGATGCCGCGCGCCCTCCGCAGACATCCTTTGTGCTGGACTGTCTCGGTGGTGGGAGTGAGGAAGCAGTGATGCGCTGGGCAGTTTTCACCCTCTGGAGAGATTTCCGGTCAACAGCAGAGCAAGTGCCGTACCACAGCGTGATGCAGTTGGTGAGGATGCTGTCGATGGTGCAGCGGTAGAAATTCACCAGGATCTGAGGGGGCGAATGAGCCTTCTTCACTCTCACAGATGGGGGTGTGGTTGCCATCTTTGGTCCACAATGAGCTCCTTGGTCTTCTTGGTGTTGAGTGCCAGGTTGTTGTTGGCGCACCACTTAGCCAAGTGCTGGACCTCGTTCCTGTAGGCCGACTCATCGTTGTTGCTGATGAGGCCAATCACCGTTGTGTCCTCTGCAAACTTTACAATGTTGTTAGAATTATGTACAGGTCTGCAGTCATAGGTGAAGAGGGAGTAGAGGAGGGGGCTCAGCACACAGCCCTGTGGGACACCGGTGTTCAGGATGAGGGTTGAGGAGGTGTGGTTCTTTAACCTGACATATTAGGGGTCTGTTGGTTAGAAAGTCCAGTATCCAGTTACTGAGGGAGGTGTTGATGCCCAGATCCCTGAGTTTGGTGTGGATCAGTTTGGAGGGGATGATGGTGTTGAATGCTGAACTGAAGTCTATGAACAGCATTCTCACACTCTGTACTCCTGTTCTTGTGGTAGGCAAACTAAAGGGGGTGCAGTGTTGGATACGCGGATTCGAAAATTATGTTGATATAGTCTAGAACAGAGGAGGCAAAGACGTTGATGTCTGTGTGGCCTCGGTGGCAAACACACTGCAGTCTGTGCGTTAAAACCGGAGCTGTGGTGCAGTCTGCTCCCTCTGGCCATACCTTAACTGTCCTCACAGTGGGTTTCACACGACTGATGAAAGGTGTTTCATATGGCACCGGTTCCTATACGACCAGTATCTTCCGTACCAAAACGCGACGTAGATTTTGGTGCTTGATTTCGGTGCCTTAGCCGATTGAAAAACTTTATTTACACACTCTGATGACGTCCTCGGAGCAGTTGACGATAGCTTACTGCTTGTATAGCTACAGTAGCTATGTAGTTAGCCATCTGCCTTCTATTTATATTTATTTATGTCAATGTTTCCCTCTGTTATTGAAGCCTGCACGTTTTTCGCAGCGCACGGCTTGACAAAGCTAACGCTAACTGTACAGAGCTATTGTAAAGCTAACGCTTGATAAAGCTAACGCCAACTATGAAAGCTGATGTACAGCTAATCTTTGGTAAAGATAACGCCTCATTTAAAGCTATTAAAGCTTGACAAACCTTACCATACAAATCTACTGGTAAACTGAGTTTGATGAACCGTTAGTTGCAGGAGTAATTTATTCCGTTCTTTCTTCTCCTTTGTTGTAAATGAGGAGAAGTTTGAGTTCACAAACAATCTGTGACTCAAAGAGACGAAAAGACCAAACTGAGTAATGTGGAACAGAACATCTTCGTCACGTCTTGGTTGTGCCAGCAGCAGAAACTCTCTTTGCGCTAAAAAGCTTTAGAAACCCGCTGCGGATCTCCTTGGTCCGGACGCCGTAAATGACGGGGTTGATGGTGGCCGGCAGCAGAATGTAGGCAACGCCCATGAGGGTGTTGACGTTGGTCGGTATGGCGATGTTCAGGTTGTGAGAGAGGAAGGTGACGCTACCCACTAGGTAGAAGCACATCATGACCATCAGGTGAGTGCCGCAGGTGTGAAACGCCTTCCTGCGATCCTCACTGGCGGTTGCCGCCCTCAGGGCGGCGTCGAGGATCTTCACATAGGAAAAAAAGATGAGTGGTATGTCCACGCCCACGAAGCACACGATCACGGCCAGGCCTGCCACCATGTTCCTCTCCGTACTACCGCACGCCAAGTTGACTAGCGCCATGTGGTCGCAGTAGCAGTGGCGGATCACGTCGGAGCCACAGAACCGCAACGAACCCGCCAGCGACACCAGCGTGGCCATGATGGAGCCGCTGCGCACCAGGGCGAGGAGCAGTAGCCTGGACAAGGCGGACGCGCCCACCATCTCTGTGTAACGCAGCGGCTGGCAGACGGCTAGGTAGCGATCCAGCGCCATGGCCAGCAGCAGAGTGGACTCCAGGGATGACAGGAAGTGGGTTGAGAACATCTGGGCCAGGCAGCTGGCCAATGAGATGCGGTTCCAGTCAAAGAGGAGGCCAAGCAGCATCTTGGGCACGATGGCAGTCGCTGCCAGGAGATCGACCGCACAGAGTGCGGCGATAAGGACGTACATGGGGCCTTTCAGGCTCTCCGTGCGGAGCACCACAAGGACCAGCAGGCCGTTCCCTAGCAGCACCACCAGGTAAGAGGCGCAGAGCGGCAGCGCCAGCAGCTGCCGGTGCTTCTGCAGCCCGTCGAAACCACTGAACACAAAGGAGGCGTGGGAGAAGTTCCGGCCCGGAGAAGCCTCCATCGCGGCGCCTGCTTTGCCTCGAGCTCAGAACGGCGGCCTGAGAGGAAGCACAAGAACATTCAGAGAACTGATTACGTGAATCTCTTTGCAGACAACTCACAGTAAAAATTCTCATTCTTTACGAGGCATTGTGTATATATTACATATATTATTATATACTGATCAACTGGGAAGAAGCTCGTTATAATGACTCGTTCATTAGTTACTAATAGTAAAAAAGGTACTAAAGTGAATGGAGTAACGTCTCTAACACTCAACACTTTAGGATAAATGTGTTTCCAGACCAGATATCTTCTCAAATAGCAACAATATGTTAAAGATTTAATTATACATAAATACATTTTTATCTAATAAAAAAAGCCTTTCTCTAAATACATTGTTTATACTTTAAGTCAATTCTCTAATATCATTGGAATTTGTATCGAATGAAAGCATATAATCCTTAATGTCTTACTAAATAAGAAAATATGGTAATATCAATGAATTAAGATATTAATATTTCAGCAATGCAAATGTTCTCGTATAAAAACCCATAACTTTAAAACGCAATAATACTCAAAGTATAGTTGGATTTCAATGAGAACTCCACTTCATTTCATTCTAATTATTCACTTGTAGGGAAGTGATATTTCACAATAATAGCATGACAGAAAATGGAGGAATCAAACCTTTGGGTTTGTTTGAGATGTCTTTTCAGAACGTTTTACATGTTTTAAAAGAAACTGAAGATCAAACAAAATATTTTAAAAGACAAATAAAAGGAAATGTTAAACATTCCTACCTGCTGAAGTTCCTCAGATGGTTGTCGGGAGGAACTCGGGTCTTCTTATTATACCCCAAGCACAAACGTCCCACAGGAAGACTGATCCTAAACGCAGCAGCACTCTGATTGGCTGAAGCTGGTTGGAACTGGTCAGAATCATTATTTAAGTTCACTTGTTATTATAACACTTAAAAAAAAATTCTTGTTTTCTAGAGCTAAACATATGAACTAATAATGAATTATAATATTTATTGTTTAACTAATTTATCAAATATAAATACCCCAGATGTGTCTAGTTTCAATTTACATTTTATCCTGACAATGAACCAAATCTGAAGGTCTGTCATTTCTCCACCTTTTGCACCTTGCAATTATTTTCTATAAGTCTTATGAAATATAAATAAACATAATATAATGCTGTGTCTCGAGTCCACAGCTTTGTTCATGTAGAGAAATCTAACAATTAACACGTTGTAATATTGAATCCTTGACAATAAACGAGCAGTTCTTCAGCCGAAGCAAGACGCTCTCCTCCGAGGTTTGAACTGTGGAATCAAATCACCGGTTCCTCCCTTTGGGGCCTTCTGCTTGTTGACGTTATTCCTGCATGCTGATTGGCCAAGAGCCCTGTAGATGGGAGGACACCGGGATTAAGGACCTCTCGGTTCGACTGCTGGGACTCGGAGGTTAATGAGCTCTCCTTGACTCGTCAATAAGCGCTTAACCCAACCCTAAAACATCCCCTGGGGAAGAAAGGAGATTTAAGTGACTTTAACGTGGATGGTTGTTGGTGCAGACAGGCTGGCCAAATACGTCACAAACTGCTGATCTCCTGGGATTTAAACACACAACCATCTCTGTGGTTCACAGAGGACGGTCCCAAAAAGAGAAAATATCCAGTGAGCAGCAGTTGGGTGGTGAAAAAGCTGTGTTCATGTGAGAGGTTAGAGGAGAACGAACAGTTAGGAGGTGTAAGTAAAATTACTGGGAATCCACATCACATGGGATCTCAAACTACCCATCAACATTTACCACCTGGTGAAGAAAGCCCAACAGAAGTTCTCCTGCTTGAAGAAATTAAACCAAGCCCAACTCAGTTCCTGGTCAACTTCTACAGGAGCACCATTAAGTCAATTCTCTGCCACTGCGCCACCATGTGGTACACCAGCTGCACGACAGAAAACCGGAGAGACCTGGCCCAGGTAGTAAAACAGCCCAAGGGATCATAGGGACTAGCAACATCAGCAAGAACCCAACCCACTCATGTCATCAGGGAAAAGGTTCAGAAGCAAGGGTGTAACCATGGTTTAGACATTGGGGGGGGGTCCGCTGGACGAGTAGTGATGTGTCGTTCATGAACGATTCTTTCATTTTGAACGAATCCTTACAAGGACTCGGGAGTAGCGAGTCCTCTCAAAGAGAGATTCGTTCATTTCCTCATGGCCGCGCACTGGGACTGTTGCATTGGCTCAGTCAAGGAAACAGAAATGATTCGTTCATTGATTCGTTCACTTCCCGACTGGGTACTACTGAGCCTATGCAGGTCACGTGAAAAATGATTCAAAGACCCGGCAGATGAACGAATCATCGATCCGAAGATACGATCGGGAGGTGAATGATTCGTTCATCTGCTGGGTACAAGTCTTTGAATCATTTTTCACGTGACCTGCATGGGCTCAGAAGAGGAAACGGGAAGGATTTGTTTGCCTCGTTCACTTTCGCGTGACTACGTTTAGTAAGATGTGAATTATTCTGCAACGGCGTAAGCACGCATTCTTTGGGGGGGTTGTGTGCCTCCCAATATTGCGCAAATACCAATCGGTCCCCCCCAATATACTGATCAGCAGAAAATATGTAAAATATATGTTCTCCTTTTAGGAACCCTGTCAATGGATCGGCCTCCTGGCTCGTTAGTGCGACTCTGCAAGCGCTGCCGGGCATATAGACCAGTAGACCAATAAATGCTACTAGGATAACGGGTAGTAGTTTTTAGTTTCCCTAACAATGCCAGAACTGGGACAGAGGTAGAGAAAAATGTGTCCCTTGACCCCTGAGGTCTATCAGAGACCTGTCAATCAGCAGCTTCTATGAATGAATGTTAATGGTGATGATGTCATGAACCGTGTGACAGTGCCATGCTGACACCTGGAGACGGACACAACACATTACTGATTGTTCACATGATGTTTAGCAATAAACCTATTATGAAAAAGTAATGAAGATATCAAGGAACATCTCCTAATTTATATAATTTGGGTTTGTTTGTATTGTTGATATGAGAATAAAGGACATTGTCTTTACAACAATTTTAAGAAATATTTGATTTGAATGACAAATGCGATATTTTGTATGACTTTTTTATTGACGTACTATACTATGACATTTTAGTTTAAAAAATATCATACCGTAATTATATTATAATTTATTTGAACCTTTTTTATGACGGACTTCCCTTTGACTCTTTTATGAAATAATATTGACAGAACGAGAGATGTCAAAGAAATGTCAAAGATCAGTGTGTCCATCCAGCAGAGGGCGCTGATAGAATGCAACGTGTGCCATATGTTTTATTATGTCTGTGTTTCTGTGTGTGTTTGTGTCACATGTTCGTCTTTATGATCCCGAAGGTGCAATTTGTGCAGCCAATCTGGATAGAAACAAGTTCTTTCTTCCCACGACTTGACTCTTTCTTACTTATACAGGTACTGTACTTATACTGTATACTTATACTTATACTGTACTTATACAGGTTTGCCACTTTAACTGCAATTCATCACTTGTCGTCACTCGTCACTTTGTTACTTGTTTGTTACTTGTTCGTTAGTGTCACGGTGTGGTTCACTTCCTGTCTTATTTTGTAGTTTTCTGCCACTCGTGTCCCCGGGTAACTTCACTTCCTGCCTTGTCTCGTCATCCCCTGTGTTCCTCTAATAGTTTCCACCTGTGTCCAATCACCTGCACCTCCCTTGTGTATTTAAGCAGTGTGTCTCCTGTGTCACTTGTCGCGTCATTGTCTTTCGTCTTGGATCGCCGTAGTTTCTCGTCTGTGTGCTTTTGCCCCCGGTTCCTGTTTTTTGAGCTTTGACTATTAAAGTCTTTTGGTTTTCTGCAAGTCTGCGTTTGAGTCCTGCCTTCCACCCCCAACCCTGACAGAATGACGCGACCAAAGAAGGGCTCAGCAGACCCGCTGCCAGACTACGGTCCGGACTACCTGGACGTAAGGAGTCCCTTCTGGCAGCGGAAAACGAACTTCATCTTCGGTCCCAGGGGCTATCAGCTCGCCTGCCTCGAGCTCCGGGATCTGCTAAATCCTAAGAGGAGCCCTGGCCAGCGGAATAACAGACGTCCCGCTGGGCCGCCGCAGCGTTCTCCCGTTCCCGCTGGGCCGCCGCAGCGTTCTCCCGTTCCCGCTGGGCCGCCGCAGCGTTCTCCCGTTCCCGCTGGGCCGCCGCAGCGTTCTCCCGTTCCCGCTGGGCCGCCGCAGCGTTCTCCCGTTCCCGCTGGGCCGCCGCAGCGATCTCCCGCTCCAAGACTCTCAGCCATGCCCCCGACCCCCGAGCCAGTGCCACGATCCATGCCCCCGGTACCAGCACCACGTTCCATGCCCCCGACCCGACCAGTGCCGGCCCCACGCTCCATGCCCCCGACCCGACCAGTGCCGGCCCCACGCTCCATGCCCCCGACCCGACCAGTGCCGGCCCCACGCTCCATGCCCCCGACCCGACCAGTGCCGGCCACACGCTCCATGCCCCCGACCCGACCAGTGCCGGCCCCACGCTCCATGCCCCCGACTCGGGCAGTGCCGGCCCCACGCTCCATGCCCTCGAGCCGGCCAGATCCTGCCGCGGACTCCTTGCCACAGACTCGTCCAGCCTCCGCCCAAAATGGCATGCCCCCGACCCCGCCAGGCGCAGGGTCAAGAT